CAAAAATTTGAACATATCTGAGCCAAAGATTATTGAATGCACTGATAAATATATAATAAGAAGAAGAATAAAAATAAGCAAATGCCTATTGAAATAGTAATAATTTAAAAGTTGCTATAATTCAATTTTAATAAACTTCATGTATTTTTAACAAAATAATATTAATAAATTTTCAAAAACTTTGAATTTACTCAATGTTAAAATTGATAATATCAATGAATATGTGATTAGTCATTTAGAATATATCTTTTAAAGGTTATCAAGATTTGTTAAAAGAATTCTGGATCTTGAAGAGATGAATCTTAACTGAATTGTTTGTTGTTCTGCTAAATTAGACAAAAGTTCTAAGATTCCAAAATAATTGTTATACAACCTATTTATTATTAGTGAACTATAAGTTTGGCTTGTCTATGCTTGTCATATTTGATTGTATAATGTAATTTTAATAATCCTTATTTTAATTGATGCAGCCTGATTTGGCATCTTTATATAAAACATTTTTAATTAGGTCTTTAAGATGATATCTTAAATAAAATCTTGAGCTATTCTGTTTTCTGTAAAAATAGTTTATTTTTTCGATTTTATGTTGAACTTTGATTAGTAAAATTATCAGTTTTGATGGGTAGAGATTGCACCAGGAACAGAGTGTAATGAAGTGCATGTTATATGGCAAGTGAAAGAGTGTATCTGAATTCATGAATCTGATTGAATTGTATTTACATGTAATTTGTTGTGTTATAATACTTCTATATTTGTCAGTTCTTTATGTACATATGTTTATACATACTGAACAAATATTCTTTATATAGTAATATGAATATTATTTACCATTTAAGTTATTAATATTAACGGTTTGATTTATTTATTACAACCTATATACTATATGTGAATATTGCATAGAAAACACTTTGATAATGAATAGACAACTTAGATATTTTTAAAATTTTTTTTCACTTTTATTTACAACCCAGTACAACTAACACAGTTTTTTTTACCTTTTTTCATCTTTTATTTAAAATAGTTTAGCACATATAATGATTTTGTAAGTCGATTTTGACTTACTAGTTGTAACAAGAATTGATTAAATAAAGTGTGGCTTAGGTCACAATACCTTGCAGTATATTGTTAAGTTTATAATTTTTATAGTATATCTTTGACATTTTTGTGGAGAAATAACTTCTTGCTAAATAAAGTGCATTTATTATTACATAAAATACAGTAATCGTTTGAGCTAAGGTATTTCTTAATACATAAATAATATCATTAAGTTCTTATTAAAAATATTTTGATCTGTTTACATCTCTGCTAAAGTCAAAAATAATATTTGATTGTTTGATAAAATGATTTCTGATCAAAGCCTTGAGAATAATGCTATGTTGTGTGAGCATGTTCTAAAAATATCTGAGTAATTCCTACAATTCATATTAAATTTTTACAAAAAAGAATGATAAGTATCACATCAGAAAATTAAGTAATAAACATGTGTACTTATCATCACACAAATATGTATTTTGCAACCTGTGATGTGCTATTGGGGTATTTCATATATCAAAAATCATGTCTGTATAAGGCATTATAATAAAACCTTAATAGTATGAAGATGCATAATTTGTGAAATTTGTGAATCAAAAAAAAAAAAGAAAAGAAATCACTAATACAAATTGTATGATCCGCTGTACATCATACATATTTTCCACTGGGAAATAAGCCATAGATCTCTGGTTATATGAGGGCCCGAAGTAGGGCTGTTAAGTGGTCCGACTAAAACCGACGGACCGTCGGTCCGTCCTAGGACCGGGCCGGTCCTGTCTTTTTTGGGACGGACCGAAAAGACCGTCGGTCCTAATAACAGTTATTATTAAATCATTGTTATAGGCAAATTATAGATATAATAGTAATCTGATTCTGCGATTTTTTGTAATATTCAACATGTACACAATAAATGAAATATCTAACTATAGTCGTGAGAAAACTTTTATTGAGTTGACATAAATAGCACACGGCAAAATTAAACAAAAACTTGATTTTCAAGTTTTTTAATTTATCAATTTATAAAATTGGCCGTTAAATACAAACTTTATTTTTAGTAAATAGACTTCGTGACAACTTATCATGAAGTTTAAAGTTAGATTAAAGTAAAAATATATTTTGTAATTAATGCGCAATACTGTAAATCGATAGATTCAAAAGCTTGAAAATCAAGTTTTTATTTGATTTTGCCGAACACTTGACATAAAGTCATATGTTAAGCAAATAACTGGTCCAAATTTAGAAACCCCAAATTTTTTATGGCGTAAATCAGGTGTAGGGCGGTTAATCAATTCGAAGAAAACCGCAGTCTGTGGCCAGTCTAGTCTTTATAGATCGGACCAAAAGACTATTGGTACTAATATAGTTAGTATTAAATCATTGTAACGATCATATATAGCCTAATTTTATGTGACTTATTCGGTTCGGATTATTAGCATTATTGTAAATATAAAGTTGATTTTTAGAGACTTAGACAACGACAATAAATTTAAAAAATTTTAATCGGTTTTTTTCTTAATTATTATAACAGGTTTTCTTTAACAAGAATTAGATATACAAATCAAATATTTTTAACTAAAATGATTGTATAGATTTACTTACAGGGTTCAAATTTCATGCATTGCTATCACTAATAACAATAGACAGGCTTTTGGCTAGAGGTAGCTTTTATGCAATTAAACAAATAATAAACTAATAATTTGAATTCGTCTATAATAATAACGTGTAATAATGCATAATAATTAACATGTTGGTGCAATTTATGTGGCATTTAATTAGTATAATAATCGGTCCGTCCAATCTCATACTGATCGGTCCTAATCGGTCCTGGACCGCGGTCCGGTCCAACTTTTTAAAAGACCGCCGGTCTTTGGACCAAGACGGACCGGACGGACCGATTAACAGCCCTAGCCCGAAGGACCCTCACATAACCGAGAATTTGCCTCTTATTCCTGTCGTTGCAAAAAAATAAATAGTACCTTTTCACTTCTAATTTGATTCCTTATTTCATTTAGTTGGCGATGTTCATAATAGTTAGTGTAATTAAAATAGGCCATTTTTTATATTTATATTAAATTTCTGTAAGTATAGTTTAAAATATGTTAAAAAAATTTTTGCTGCTCTTTAAGTTATTCTATCTTGGGAAGAATAATTTGCTAATCAAAGTATTCGAAAATGATGTATGCACTTATTAGTTTATTAGTTTTATTGGTTTATTGTCCGTACTGATTTGGTTGATAAGCAATCTTTTGTTTAAGTCGATTCAGTCAATATTATTTGTTTAATCGAAATATTTGAAATAATCTATGTATCTATTATTAATTTCTTATTCGTGCTGATTATGATTTTTATAACTTGATTTTCTGAAATTTATATACAAAGTATTGATTATAATTTTAGTCTTATCTGAACTCAAGTTGCATGGTGCCATACTTACACTTGTACCATATTATAATAGTGCACATAATCTAAACTCAACAAATCACAAAAAATTAGGCTATATATGTTCGTTACAATAAACTGACTAACACCCTAATTGTGTACATGATCTAAATTTAATATATCAGATCAAATATAGAATAAGATTATCTTAAAATTTTAAACCACTTAATATCTAGATACTCTCCCGTTCCTGGTTTTGCGAGATGATGTCGCGTAGCTACCCTATGTGAAATATCATATTTTAAAGTTTGTACCGAATTGATCCGGCGTCATGAATCGAAAATCGATTAATCGTTTAGTTGGCTGAGTTGATAACTAAATTAAATCCAACTATTAATCGATTAATCAACTAATCGATTAACTATTAATCGATTAATCGATTAATTGACACTAGTTGCTTTTGCATTAATTGGCTTTTTAATAAAAATTTATCAGATTTATATTCATAAATCAGGTTAACTAAACAACTAATCGGTTAATCGATTAATCAATAACCAATCGGTTAATCGATTAATCAACTAATCGATTAATTGATTAGTTAGCAATAATCGATTTGGAATCGATTTTTAAAAAATTTTCAACTAACGTAAAACTAATTATGGTTAGCATTAGTATTCTGGTCAGTGTTCGAAATTTTAGATCCGAATACAGTATGTAACAGTGCAAATAGTTGTGGTGTTCTCAAAGCACAGCACTGATAAACAGAATCAATGTTCGAAATTAGTGCTCTTATGGAAACACTTATAAATTTGTGCACAGTATAAATTTTTTTACTGTTCACTATTAAATATTTTGAGAATAACTATGTTGGTACTACCACAAAATCCAGAAAGAACATAATACCGACTAAATTGATCAGCATTACAACAAATACCACTATGCTACAACTGGCCGATCTCAATTAAAACGTTGCAAATAATTTTGCAATTTTACTCGTATCGATATTAAATTTAAAACTATGAAAAAATAATTAACCGATTAACGGCACCACTATGAACGTATATAAATACTTGTGCTAAAATAAATTTTTGGTTTTAGAAAAAAAAAAAAGTTTCTACGATTTCAAACTAAAAATTGTTTGATTTTGAAATCCTTAAATATTATCCTTTCTTACTATGGCAAAATATTTCATTATCTTATTATCGCTTGTAATCTTGTCCTTCTTTCTAAGAATTTCCAATACTAGAAATGTAGCAAATTTATTATCGGTAATTTGATTTTATTAATTTGAAATATTATTAGCAATTTTAATTTCGTTGCTGAGACTCGTGGCTTCTATCTCAGCTAGTCTTATGCATTATTTTATAGTTTTCCTTATAAAAAAACTTTGGGTTTTCATTAAATTCGGTTAGTATTGCTATAAAATCTTGAAAATGGGAGCCTTAGCAATAAAAAGCATATTATCTTTATACAGTTTTTGTATTCTAAAAAAAAAAAAAATACTAAAACCTGCATATTTTTTATTTAATAAGCTTACTTTATATACAAATTGTTGTACAAAGACGTTCATCCCCAAAATTTTTTAAGCAATGTTTAGAGAATTTATTAGAAATACTATTGCTGTTGCAATCATATAATTTTATTAATCTGTTATATATATTTAATTTATTTTCTTTAAATTATCAGCATTATTAACTTTCATTCTTTTTTTTTTATGATAGAATGATACTTGCTGTAATCTAGAATTCTGCACTTCAGTAATCTTATTAACTATTCATTCTCTTTTTATTAATTTGTAAATTATATTAATATTTATTTTTTTGATTTTTTTTTAGAACCAAACCTGCTGCCCAAATAACTTTTGCTGCAATCAAGTAATTATATTTTTTTAATTTGTTGTCTTTAAATATTGCTAATACACTCTACTCTCATTATAATGGACCCTTCGGGTTGAAAGATTCTGCCCACTATATCCATAATAAATGAATTTCCGTTATAATTTTATATAATACAATAATAATAATTTTAAATTCTTTTAGAAAATTACTCCGTTATAACAAGGTATCCACTATATAGGGTGTATTATTAACTATATTCTCTTTTATTTTTTTTTAGACCCAATCTTGCTGTGGTACTCACATTGGATTTAATGGTGCTTGTTGTAATCAGGTAATTTTTTACTAATTTGTTTTCTTTAAATATTAATATTAATAATAATTTTATTAACGATCTATTTTTTATTTTTTTAGGATGAAGTCTGTTGTGAAGTAGGTGGTATTTGTTGCAATAAGGTAATTTTATTTTCTTAATTTGTTTTATATATTGGGTGATTCTGATTTCGAATTAAATTAATGAAGTATTTATTTCGAAATCAGTGGCTCATAAATCATACTTATTTTTGATTTTTAAGCTTATTTACATAATAACAATAGTAATTAATACTATTTATGTCATAGGCATACATTCGTATGATTGGCAGTTTAAATCGATTTAATTTTACATTATTTACACAGTTTAAAGTACTTTTTTAAAAAAGAAAACTACAAAGAATAAACAAAAAAGAAGTATATAGAAAGGTTTTGGACTCCACTATTAAAAATAATCAAAATTCTTTTTTGTTTTAGAGAAGTTATCATAATAACGAATTCTTAAAATTAGGTTATCACCGTGGAGTCCTGCAACCCTAATAAAACTTCCTATATGCTTCTTTTTTGTTTATTCTTCGTAGTTTTATTTATTTTTTTTAAAAAAGTACTTTAAGCTCTATAAATAATGTAAATTTAAATTGATTTAAACTGCCAATCATACGAATGTCTGCCTAAGAACTATTTATGATCATAAATTTTCTTTCGAGACTTGATAATTTTTAATATATATTTTAAAATAGCTTATATTTCTGATCGACAATTATATATTAAAAGCATAAATAGTATTTTAGAAGTATTAAAGAAGAATATTCTAATAGTACTCATAAAAATATAGTAAATATTCTCGAAAAAGAAATCGATGAACTGTTGGAACAATTTCAACTATTGCAAACAATTGAATTAAATCGATATTTTACTATCTGGAGGAAGCATATTAAATATTAACAATTCGAAAAAAAATTTAAGCGCTAATGTAGTTCTTTAATAATTTATTATGATTATATGATAACAACACATCAAAAAAAAAGTTATTTATTTTATACCCTCGTCATTATATCAAGATCGCAGGGTATATATCAGTTATACACTGAGTTCCATGTGTTTAAGCAGAATTTTCATTTCCGCTTATACCCATGCCATCCAATGTATAACTATTACTTATTTTCGAAATAATTTAATTATGAATCACCCTATTATTAATATTATCTACTTCTTTAATTATTCTTAGAATCAATTTTGCTGTAGAATTACGAATACTGAAGTGGAAGTTTGTTGTAATGAGGTAATTTTATTTTACTAATTTTGGTTTTTAAATATTATTAATATTATTAACTATTTATTCTTTTTTTGATTTTTTGGGATCAAATCTATTACAATGTTAAAATTTTATTTTATTGCAATTAGGTAATTTATTTTGTTCTCTAACTATTATTAGTTTAATAATTATATATTCTTATCTTTTAATTTGTCTAGGGTCAAAAATGTTGTGATAGTGGATGTTGTTAATTTTGCTAATTTGCTATTTCAAATAAAATTAATATTTTAATTTAGATTTATATTTATATATATATATTTTTAGTATTAAGATAAGATCTGGTTTCTAAGCTTTATTAAGTATAACTTATATTAAATATATTTATATTACAAGCACTAGTTGAAATGGTAAAATTCAGTATACCGAATGTTAAATGAATTTAATATTAATGTAGTCTAAATTACATATATACATATTAAAATACCTGATTCCTGCCACTTAGCTGTCGAATTAAGTACAAATCGATAAACTATTAGCAATTACTCAAATGAGTTATCCAAATTACATTCAACCTTAAATTTAAAATATGTTCAGTATTTCAAAAAAATTAAAAGGGCTTAACCCAACTAAATTGTAAAGCTATAAGATATGTGTTAATGGTTTAATGTAATTCAATTTGCGTATGCATATACTCCCTATTCAAAACTATAAACATCTAACAAAATCTAGTTCTCAATATAGAATAATTTCAATTTTTATAATAATATAGTGTAAATTAAGGATAATCTTTTAAAAAACATTAAGACGTAATTTGTTGACAATTCGTTTATTGTGTAGTGAAATCAATTTAAATTACTAGAGTGCCTTTCTCAACAATCCATAAAATGATCTGACTGCTAAAAGAAAAAAAAACCAACAATCATGTTTGACAAAAAAACCTGAACATAACCAATATATTTTTTATAGAGATACCCTTGTTGGCTGAATTTAAAATATATATTCGAGCAATAAATTTCAGTAAATTTGTTATAAGGATCATTTTAATTATTTGATTAATCAAAATAATTGAGCTGCATCTCGATCACATTGAGGGAATTGCTTGAATAAGATCCAAAAATGTCATAGAAATCTTTTTTATTAAAAAAAAATTAAAAAACTGACACACATAATTAAATAGATTAAGCAATATTAATTATTTAGCTTTATTATTATTAGTTTAAAATTAAGTTGAAATATATATATATAAACGTAAGAAATAGAACAAAATTATTAAGTTTTTCTCTAAATAAATTATTAAGTACAGTTATATGTCCGTTGTCCAGGAGTAAGTGGTATCCAACCTTGCTCGACACCAAGCATGAAATTCCAATGAGCCGAATCTTCAGTTTTGAAATTCCAAAAGGTCCAACCAATCCTTTTTTAGCAAAGTCAAATAATTGGTAAGCAAACAACGAATAATGACAAAATATAAATACAGTATTATATTATGTATAAAGGTTTATATTTTACCCGGCTTCATAAGCGTTCATTTGAGCTGATGCATATTGTTTCAAATAACTTTTATATTCGGGAGTCCAATTCAAATAATCATCTTCAGACTGGCACGTACCGTTAGGGTAGTTGCATCTTGAACTATTACCAACACCCAATAACCATTTCGTACAATCAGTTGTACCAAGACTCCTATTCATATTCATGTGACAGCATGATTTGAAAATCAATAAATAATCAAACAAATATAATGATAAAAAATAACAAAAAAAACAAATTGATCACCATTCACCCACGAATCTTCGAACAGTCTTACTAGTAGAAGTAATATTATCTTTATTTGAACAAACGGTGGAAAGTTGATCATCGGTGCTCATTGACACAAAATCGCATGTAAATGCATTATAAAGATGAGTATCCAATACTGCACGTTTGAATTTTGAAGATTCTATAAAATCTACCGAAATATCAATCGATTCAAAAACCGAAAAAATAGTAGCGTCATATAATATCAAAATGTCACTGTTTATTTCACGAATTAAATTATAGGCTTCTTTAAAATATTCTTGAAATTGACTTTCTACAGAAAGACTATATATAATACATATAAATGATCGAAATTATTAACTGACTAAAAGCTTAATATGAATTCATAAAAAAAATTAAAGACATACGCTGGTTCATTAAGCACGCCAATGGAGATAACAGTGTTTTTAAACTCAGGATGACTAAATGTCGTTGTTATGTTTTTGATGACTTTAAGCGTAAGTTGTATATTATCATCAGTTTGCCATTCAATGGGGCCTTGTCTACCAGTAAAAGCATAACCATCCTAATACGTAAATAGTGATTAAAAATAATATATCGCATAACGATAATAAATTATTATGAAGATCGATTAATAATCACCTGAGAACCTGGAGCACCGTGTAAATCGACAGTGACTTTCAAACCATATTTCTTTGCCCATCTAACAGCTTTCACTAAATATTGAAACGCGCCCATAACGAATGGATCAGATGGCTTCTTTTCGAAGGCCCAATAACCTACAGGTATTCTATATAAAAATTATAAAAATGAGAAAGTTTCTATATAATTTATTACATGCGGAAATTCATACCTAAGATGATTTAATCCGTAGGATGCAAGCTTTTTTATGTCATGTTCTGTTACCCAAGATGACCAATGATCATCAAGTTGTCTTTTGGCTTCTTCATAGCCCAAAAATTTAGTAAATGTATATTCATCAACGACCTGGTCATCAGGACTGAATTGCTCGAAAAGACTTGGTCTAATAACTAACAAAATGTCATAAAATATACAAATATATTAATATGATTTTATAATTTTGTTTTAATTATTATTAATTGCTATAATGGTAGGAAATTGTAGGCATTCAATTCAATGGGTCAGTTTATAATATTATAATACTCAGTTAAATATACAAATCAAAATCAATAATTTAATATTCGATTAAAATGTGATGAGAATGATTTTTTGGGTAATTCAATTTAATACTTTGTTATGATAAACGACGATATCATTAGGATTGGATCGGTCCTTGCAAAGGCCGGTCTGGACCAGTCTTTGAACCGGGACTGAAGCTTATTCGGTCCTTGGTCTCGATCCGGTCTGGACCGGTTCAGACCGCTAGTCAAAGTCATACAATAATGTAATTATGATTTCATCTATCATAATTGCGGTGATTTAAAGACTGTTTTAAGGACCGGACCGGACCAATAACACTAATTGGTCGGTCCTATTAGGATCGAACCAAACTGATCCAACCCTAGATATCATATCATTAATAAATTTCATGATAAACTGGTGACATTTAAATTTATACCATTTGTATTATTTTCGATATAGTTTTATGTAACCGTAAAGTATTAAGGTTAAATATGATTTTTTTTATTAATACCATATACTTACATCCTTCTAATATCAGCCTTATGTGGAGAGATGAAGTAAATAATTATTTAATCAAGAAATTCGGGTTGTTATTTAAAAATTAATATTAATTACCATCCTCCAAGATTCACACCACGTATTTTATCGTTTTTATATGCATATTGATTGATGTTGCAATAAACCGAATTGAAGTAAATTAATATAAAAAATATTGAAAATGAAAATATCCTCATTCTTTTAATACAAAGGTAATGATTCAAAAAAAATTATTTGCGAAAATGTTTTTACTTTAATTGACTATGTTCTTGAAATATACTTTAAATAGTTTTTAAGGATTTACTTTAATTGACAATATTCTTGAAATATGCTTAAAATATCCTTTAAATAATTTTTAAGAATTAACTTTAAATGAATGTTTTATGTAGGAATCGAGATGTAGCTTTATTGAAATAATTAATTACAACCAATAATTCTTGTAGTATTTAGTATAGATAAGGTTGCTGGTGCAGTTAAAATTCTAATGGTACACCACATATATACCAAACGAGATCTTTGGTGCGTGGTGCATATGATGGTTCATCATTATACTATGAGTGCTGCCAAGGGGAAAAAGGTAATCCGAACTTTCAATTATATTCTGTATACAGTAGCTGTCTATGGAAAATCTATCATGATGATGAATTTTCTATAGACAGCTAACTGTACACAAAATATAATCTAAAGTTCGAACGGCCTTTTTTCCTTGGCAGCACTCATATAGTTGCTTCGTATATATCTATCTCTTGGTCTACCTTCGACAAAGACATAAAATTACATCTATATCTTGTTGTTATATTACCCTATACTTTCAGACATTTTCGAACTTTACTCCCATTTTTTAGCTTTCTACACTCGTATTTTTGTTTTACTGCCTATCGAGAACTTTATGGTCAATTAACTAATATTATATTTCTTACAGTTGCGATAAGTTATCATTAATATTATTGAGCTAAAACTGAAACTAGTGCTCGGCAAAATCAAACTTTTTTTTGACACTCAAATACATGTGACGATCTGGCTTTTAAATCAAATACAGTAATACTGTATTGCTGTATTGATTTAAATGTCAGCCCATCACACGTCAAAAAAACGTTTGATTTTGCCAAGCACTAACTGAAACCATCATTTAAAAGTTATTTGGAAAATTTACACATGTGCGTATGTCATGTTACACATACACGCTCCCTAATATAAAATAAAATTAAATATGATTGGCTCGCCACTTTTACGTTGGCGTGCTACCTGGTGCACCAATTTTGTACACCAATCATAATGGTAGACCATAGTTCTGGTACTAATGATAATGATAATAATAATGAACCAAACTATGTATATATATATATATATGTTTACGTAATTGTATGTACATAAACATCCATAGTTTATTCTATTTATTCCTATAATAAATTTATTATTGTTTTCTTTTTTTCAAAATGATGAACCATGTTAAGCGAAACTTCAGATAATATTTTCGTTTCAAGCACATTCAAATAAAAAACAAAATTGTGGTTCCAACTTTGATGAAGTTTTGATTTTTAATATAAGGCTAGTAAGGGTAAACGAATATTACAAAGCATCTAGTTTTCACTTTCTAAGTGCATTAAAAGATTCTAGTAATACGAATTATTCATCAGAGAAATTAGTGGTCGATTCAAAATTAGTTAAATTAGAAGACCAAATTATTAAATTAACACCTTATTCTGCATGCGTATTACAAATTTTATGACATACGGCAATCAATACATTAAACGGTATTACCACATGTGCCGCAATAATATGACAGGTTTATTTCATGCGTACGTATGTACTACAAATAGACTTTAAGATCAGGTGTAACGTAACACGATCAGGAAATTCTCAAAAGTCATCTATTTCAATTCCTTGAGCGATTTAACTATATACCTCAGTAAAATTTAACCCTAAATGTAAACGCTAATTCTGACGTTAATGCTTTAAAGAATTTTGTAAATTGCAAATCTGCGCCACAGAATCCATAAGTTTTAAGACTACGTCTATGTTCGTTTTAATTTGAAACAAATTATACTAGTTTTTTTAATGTGGATTAGGCTACACAAAGTTGATTTTTCGTTTTGCGTTGCATGGATTTCAAAATCCCCGGTCAGTCGGTCGGAGTTTTTTTTTTTTCTTACCCTACAGTAAATAATAGTTTCATGTTGGCCAATTTTTCTCTTTGCATAACATGGAACCGGAAAATTGGATCGATAGTCGATCAGTTCTATCAGATAATTCCGGAAAAATAGGCCTCTATCGGTTTATACCGGATTTAATTTATGGAAAAAAATTAAATGGAAAAATAGAATAAAAAAAAATTGAAAATGGGTCGGCGGGTAATGCAAAACGAAAAATCAACTTTGCGTGGCCTTATCATGAAATGACAATTTAAAATTTACAAACTTCCATCACCGCAGAATAGATTAACTAATTAATACTAATAATAATATGGAAGAAAATGAGAGAATTTGCCCATAATTATGACTGGTCATCAACACTTCTCGCCCTATGGACACTTGGGAACCTTCGCTTAAGACTGCTTTGGTAATTTTATAATGGTTCTTTTCGAGAAAATCGGGTTTATTTTTTTGGACTGATCCGGGTTAATCAAAATTATGCGATTTGATTGGTTGGCTATATTGGGTAATCTCGTGACGTACAAGTCTTCTAAAAAGTTTTTTATTTTTTATTATGCAAACCAATTTCCATCTGTACAGCCCACTTCAAGATTAATTCGAATCTTGAAAGAACTCAATATTATTTTTAGGGAGTTTGGGCCCTTTCTACTGCAAGGCCCATATAATTAACATAAATTTTTTAGTGTCAGTATCTATGTTTAATTATTATAAAATTAGAACTAATAAAGGAGATAATAAATGAATAGCAATTTATAATATTTTGATTCTGCTAAATATTATAATACTATATTTCAATATCACGAAATTATAGTTAGTTAAAACCTCTACCACATGATCATGTGCCAATTATTTAATATTTTTGATTTGTTAGATATTATTTGGAATTTCTATATTACCTACGGTTTTAGAATTATATAATAATTTTGATAAGCTTTCACCAATTTTTGATATATTATAAGGTTTACTTATATATATATTATTTAATTTTTCACTAATTATAGCTTGGTTTTTATTGATTTCATCATTTTCTAAGAATTGCTTTTGGATTTTGCTTTCAATATTATCTTTGATAGTATTCAACCATTCATCTAGTTTATAAATTATTTCTTTGGTATTAATCCGTTTATTTGGATCTGAATTCATGCACTGATTTGCTAATTTGATATAACATTCCGGAGTTCCAGGTGCAAATTCTGGTCTTAATCCATTACAAATCAAAACTGCGAGACCAGTATCAAATTCATAATTATTAAAAGATCTTTGTCCATTTGTCATTTCAACCATGATAATCCCGAAAGAATAAATATCTGCTGCTTGTGTATATGGTTGTTTTTGAAATTGTTCTGGCGCAATGTAAGGTAATACTCCATGAATACGCTCTTCTTTTTCCTTTTCATCAAGTGGCTTTGATAAACCTAAATCGGTAATATAATTTTCTTTCAACAAGATATTTCCAGGATGTAAATCTCGATGTAAATATCTTTTAGTATGAATTCGATCAAGAATAGATATAATTTCATGGAGTATCTTTAATTTGATTCCCATTCAAATCTAAAAATATTAGTAAAGTTTTTACTTAATGAACCATACTTTGCATAACTAAGTACTAAAATATAGTTATTCGTTTTATTATCTCTTGATATTCCTAAATATTGTTCCAAACTATGACAAGCTTTTAACTAAATAAAATAAATTTAATAAAATTATTATATTGAATAAGAATAAATATTGGGTTATTTAAAAAATGCCTCTTTTAAAAAATGGTTCTTTGTTTTCGTTGGAATCCTTTACAATTTTAATTGCCACCACTTCATACGATCCGTATCGATTTAAATATTCTGCTTTAAAAACAGTAGAAAATGTTCCTTTACTTATCTCTTCGATTTTTTCAAATTTGTCGTATGGTATCTAACGAAAAAAAATTCTCTTTTATAAGCAGTAAATGTTTGTTCTGTAATAGCTGATTTTAAATACCATTCAAAAGCGATATCAATATTTTTTTCAACAAAAATTCCTCTGTGATAAAATTCACCGACATAATACATTCTGCTAGCAAAGCCCATATCCGCAGCTTTTTTATAATATTCAAATGCTTTCATTTATTCTTTTCGATTTCGGTTCCATCTTCATAACATTTCCCAAGGTTGCACATTCCTACAACATGACCCATGTCTGCAGATTTTTGATAATATTCGAATGCCTTACTCTCGTCCTCATAAACTCCAACTCCATTTTGATAACAATGTCCAACGTCATTTGTTCCAGTTGCATATCCTATCTCTGTAGATTTTTGATAATGAATGAATGCTTTATTATAATCCTTTTCAACTCCGACTCCAAATTCGTATAAAAATCCAACATTATATATTCCAATAGTATTACTCATCTCTGCCAACTTTTGATAGTGAACGAAAGCCTTGTGTTCATTCTTTTCGACTCCAATTCCATTATAATAACAGGTACCAAGTGCAAATTCATTCCCCATCTCTGCAGACTTTTGATAATATGGCGTCTTTGCCTTGAAAATGACCCTACGGTATCATGTACCGTAAGGTCATTTTCAAGGCAAAGACCCCATATTAGAATGCCTTTTTT